TTTGAAACATCTGTGTTGCTTTTAAGTATTTCGACCTTTCATTTGTCGAAGAAAACTCGTTATGTTTTGTTTTACTTTTCATTTATATTTCATTTTGATGTTACTGATCATGTTCCTCGATAGGAAATGACTGTCATAGCTATCACCATTCAGTTCTTACATTTATACGATATAATAAACGCCTGTCATTTTCTCTTATTGAAAAATATGTTTGTGTTCTATTTATGTTTTATTAAAAGTTCAAGGTTAATGTGGTGGAGGTAGCTTAAAAAAAATTGTTTCTGAACTGCAAGACGAAAAAATGTGGACGCAGACAAAAAGAGTGGGCAACATTCCTCTCCCCCGCGGGAAGTACAACCAGAGTTAGTGTTGTTTTAATGCCTCGTTATGTTATACATGTGACTTGTGTACATACCAAGAAACTTAATTAACCTCTCTTTTTTTCTTCTCCTTTCACAGGTAGGTGAGCGCGACGAGCTGGCTGTCCCGGCGACGACGCGCGAGGGGGAAGCAAAATGGGCTGGCATTACCGCAATGGAGCCGTCGGGACAGCGCCGGAGTGCCCGTATGTACTCTCGGAGGTTGTGCACTTTCTGATGGAGTGTTCGGGAGCGCTGGCGTCGCTGCAGGGGCGCCGAGGGGGAGCTGCTGTTGCTGTTTCTTGGGGGAAAGAGGTGCGGGGCTTTCTGTTCCCCGGAAGGTACTCGGGTTGCTGTTCGTTGGGGAGAATGCTGCACTTGCTGTTCATAGGTTGGATAAATATTGTATTTACTGCCTCTATGGATAACTACTGTATTTGTTTTTTCTATGGATAAATGCTGTATTTTTGTCCCTACGAAAAATGCTGTATTTATTTTCCCTACGGAAAAATACTGTATTTGTTGTTCCTTTGGGGAAAAAATACAATATTTGTTGTTCCTATGGAAAAAAAACTGTTCTTGCTGTTCCAAGGGGGAAAAGGGCGTTTCCAGTGAGGTTTTTTTTCTTCTGTCTTCGCCCTCCTTCCCCTCATTCTTCGCTGGGAGCTGTGACAGGAAGGAAAGGAAGCTTGTATATGTGCGAGTGTTGGCGGGCGGGGTAGGGGGTGGGGAGGGGGGATCGGTCACCGTCTTAGCATTTAGATGGAAGTGGTTCCTTCCCCTCGTCGCTGGGGAAAGAGGGGACGCCGCAATAGAGTTAGGCCTGGAGGATCTTTCTCCTCTCGCTGAATGTAAAAACTTGGACGATTGCAGTTTATTGTGTCGGGAGGATTGTACGGTCTGGAATGCTTACGGATGACGTTTGGCTCGTGGCTGTCTTCGTGTCTGTGGGTGACCTCCAGGTGGGCCGAGGGAAGGGCTCGCCGAAGGGCAGGTTACGGTTTGGCGATCTGAGGGATGGTATTATTTTGTCCCCCCCCCCCCCTCTCTCTCTCTCTCTCTCTCTCTCTCTCTCTCTCTCTCTCTCTCTCTCTCTCTCTTCTCTCTCTCTCTCTCTCTCTCTCTCTCTCTCTCTCTTCTCTATATATATATATATTATATATATATATATATATATATATATATATATATATATATATATATGTGTGTATGTGTGTGTGTGTGTGTGTGTGTGTGTGTGTGTGTGATAGATATCTTTAAGTGTTACGTCTTTTATTTCCTTTTCAAAGAGTTCCCAAGCGGTAAGTCATCCTCGTTGAAAACCTTTATGGCCTTTAAATTCCAGTGTATCAGTTGGTCTTTTTGCTCCCGAGCCCCGCGTGGCGTGACAGCCCTGACGCGGAGTCGTAGATATCTTGAAAGACGGCGTCGGCGGCCGAGTTATCACTCGAGGGTATCAGCGGCGCCGCCTGAATGAACCCTGAGAGGCCGTCCTCCGCCCTCGGCCGCCGGTCCCTCCGTCATTGGCCTCCCCCTTCAAATCGGCATTGAGGTGGAAAATTAGATTACCCAATTTTTCTCCTGCGGCCTTGTCGGAGTAGGCCTGTTGGCGGGTGCCGGCAAGTGGTGGGCTGCTCCTGCGTCTTGGGAATGAGGCTGTCACTTCAGAGCGTCATTAATCAGGCCGGATTATGTCATCTAGCCGGGCGTGTGATGCGGCTCGAGTGCCGGTCGGCGGCGGTCGCGGCGGCGGAGACCAAATTGTTTTGCGAGGCGGCTTCGGGGATGCGTGGCTTGGTGTTCTTTGCCTCGGGATTTATTCGCCGCGAGGAGGTGTCTTGCAAGGACCGCGAGCCGTGTTTAATCTTGGCGCAGAACGCGATGTAGCGCCGAGATGGTCCGATGGAATAACGATGAAATATGCAGTACAAAGGGCCATAAAGGCCCCATAACGAGCGTGTGGATGTGGGAGGAGAGGCTGCGTTGTTGCTATGTTCGGCGGCGGCGGCGGGGGTGTGCGAGGCGCCGCGGCCGCGCTCCCCTGCGGAAGCTCGTGTGGCGTTCAATATCACGACGGCGATCTGCAAACAGCGTAATTTATGTGGTACTCCAGACATCCGCCAGGCCGTTCCCGAAACGCGAGCAACAATTCCCGCGTTAGCCTTGCCATCGCCCGTGATTTACAGGACGCCGCCAACGGGTTTTTTGTTGGGGCGCCGCTCCACGCCCCTCCCCCCCCTCTCCCCCCCTTCTTTGGGCGGCCGGGCTCCAGGGGCGGGACGGGGCCTTCCTCATTATGGCTACTGTGGTTTTGATGCGTAATCCCGGGAAGACGCGAGCGATCTGAAAAATCTTCTGAAGAAAGTGTTCGTGGGGCTGGAGGCCCTGCCGGAGACGTCCCTCGCAGCGTCTGTACTCGTCTGGTATTAATATCAGGCAAAGGACACTGCTTTCCGCGATTGCGCGTCGCGAGGCACTCTGCGTGCGAGCGAAGACGTAATAGGCAGAGGAACATCAGTTAGGGCCTTCCAACGGCACGCTTTAGCGCCCGAACGCGAGGGGAAGGTATCCGTCCTTAAAGCGAGCGGTTATCAGCCTCGTATCGCCAGTTCCCCCGTTATCCCGTCCTTCCATTCCCCGTTCCTCCCAAGCCCGACCCATTTCCGGTCCATCTCCGTGTTTGGCGGAGCTTAATCATGTGTGGCGTTGTGGTTATCAGCGCTGGGGATGAGGCACCTCCGGTAATGGCGTCCTCTCCCGCGCTGGAGTGCCAAGCCCCCGGCCGCGTCTTCGGGCTTTTCTCATTTATTCTTTCCTCCTTTGTCTCTTCCTTTCTATCATCCTTTCTTTCTTTCTCTCTTCCTTTCTCTATCTTTCTTTCTTTCTTTTGTTTTTTTCGAGCTGGTCTAGGCATGCGCCCCGTCTGTCTCCTCCTATTAATGCTTTTCATTCTCTACTCGTTTCCTTTCTTCCTCCATTCCCTTCTCCTCCTCCACCTGCTTCCCATCGCCGCCCGCGAGTTTGCCGAGTCGCACGCCCACGCCGAGGCCTTGGTGTGTTCCCGTCCTTTTTCCTTTTTAATTTTATTTCGATCTCGTTCGTAGATTCCCCGTCGGTTCCATTGGTTTTCGAATGGCATATGTATTTGTAATTTTCCCCGTGCATGTACAAGCTTTTAGATTCCATTACTCTTGATAGACGTCTATGAACGAACGCGTTAAAAGTTTCTATACGTTTCCGCTAATACATTTACTCTTTTTTTTTATAAATTCTAAAGGCCCTTAATTTGCGGAGGTCATGTTTTAATTAAGCGCGCTCGTATTTTCAGAAGATAGGTAGTTCCATGCAAATGTGGTGGCGGTAGTTTTATATGGCCCTCTTTACCGTAGTGCCAACACACCCGTGGCACCTTAATGAGAACTAACCCTTATCGCTCTCTGCAGTAGCGCAATGATCGTCAAGGCGCCAGTAGCAGCAGACACGGCCTGGGTAAGCTGCCGCTGCTGAGGGAATCGAGGCTGTTTGAAGTTCTGGTTATTAGGGCCCGGGACATTTTTTGTCGCTTTCCTCTATCTCTCTCTCTCTCTCTCTCTCTCTCTCTCTCTCTCTCTCTCTCTCTCTCTCTCTCTCTCTCTCTCTCTCTCTCTCTTCTCTCTCCTCTCTCTCTCTCTCTCTCTCTCTCTTCTCTCTCTCTCTCTCTACACTTTGTGTTCGTGTTCTCTCCTTTCTCTTTCTTTTTCAGTTTTTTTTTTTTCTTCTTTTTGTCATTCCTTCCCTTCTCGCTTTTCCATTGCTTCCCTCCTCCCTCCTTTCTTATCCTTTCTTTCTTTCCACTTCCCTCGGTTCATTTTCCGTCCCCGCCCGTCCCTCTCTCTCTCTCTCTCTCTCTCTCTCTCCTCTCTCTCTCTCTCTCTCTCTCTCTCTCTCTCTCTCTCTCTCTCTCTCTCTCTCTCTCTCTCTCTCTCTCTTTCTCTTTTTCTCTCTCCCTCCCTCTCCCCTCTCTCTTTTCCTCTCTCTCTCCCTATTCCACCCTCCCTTTCTTACTCCTCCTTCATTTTCTCTTCCTCCCTCCCCTAACTCCACTCTCCCCTCCTACTCTCTCCCTCCCTCTCTCTCCCCCTTCTCTCTCCCTCCCTCTACGCCCTCCCTCTCCTCTCTCTCCCTCTCCCCTTCTCCCCTCTCCCTCTCCCTCCCCCCCCCTTCCTCTCTGAAAAAGGGGTGGAGAGCGGGAGTGGCTTGCATACACAGCGACGGAGATTTCGGAGATTTAGGAATATCATTTATAGCACAAGGCAAAGTGTCTTATTTCCTTCACAAAAAGACGAAGAAAAGCAGGAGAGAGAGAGAGAGAAAAAAAAAAGAAGAAAACAAGTGACGCCCAATTAAGCAAGCAGCTTGGTTGGAGGCGTAGGGGTGGGGTGGTGGTGATGGGAGGGTGGAGGGGGGGCGAACAGCAGTGGTGGAGGAGACGGAAGTTGTACGGTTGTTGTTGTCGTTATTGTTGTTGTTGGTGGGTGGTGTCGTTATTGTCTTTTGTTGTCGCTGTTGCTGTTGTTGTTGTCGTTATTGTTGCTGTTGTCCTGGTTATTGTCAATGTTGTTGTTGTTATTGTTGTTATTGCTTATACTGCTATCGTCGTTGTCACCGCCGCTGGATCCACCCTGTCTCGACGACCAGTGGCGTGGGCGTGGGCGTGGCTGAGGTCGGCTGAGGGCGGGCTGTGGGCTGAGGGCTGAGGGCGGGCTTGGTGGGCTGAGGTCGGGCTGAGGTGGCTGAGGCGGGTCGGGCCTTGGGCGGCTGGTGGGTGAGAGGTTCGGGCTGGTTGGGCTGAGGGCGGGCTGGTGGGGCTGAGGGGTCGGGTTGGTGGGCGATGCTGGGTGGGCTGTGGGCGCGGGCTGGTGGGCTGAGGGCGGGCTGGTGGCTGGGGGCGGTACTGGTGGGTCTGTAAGCGTCGGCTGGGCTGAGGTGTGGGCTGGGGCGCGGGTGGTGCGGCTGAGGGCGGCTGGTGTGTGGCCTGAGGCGGCTGGTGGGCTGAGGGTTGGTGGGCTGAGTGGCGGCTGGGTGGGCGGCTGGTGGGCTGAGGTCGGCTGGCGGGCTGTGGGCTGAGTCGGCGGGGCTGGCTGAGGTCGGCTTGGCAGGGGCTGGGGCGGGGGGGCTGAGGGCTGGCTGGTGGCTGGCTGGGTCGGGGCTGGTGGGCTGATGGTCGGCTGGGCTGGTGAGGTCGGCTGAGGGCGGGCTGGTGGGGCTGAGGTCGGCTGAGGGCGGGCTGGGTGGGCTGAGGTCGGCTGAGGGCTGGTGGGCTGAGGTCGGCTTTCTTGGGGCGGCTGACGGGCGGGCTGGTGGGGCTTGGGCTGTGGGCGGAGGGCTGGTGGGCTTGAGGGCGGGCTGGTGGGCTGAGGGCGGCTGGGGGCTGGGGGGGCTGGGCTGAGGTCGGCTGAGGGCGGGCTGGTGGGCTGAGGGCGGGCTGGTGGTGAGTCGGCTGAGGGCGGGCTGGTGGGCTGCAGGTCGGGCTGGTTTGGCTGGGGCTTGGTGTGGTTTGCATGGAAGATCAAGTGGTGGAGGTGGGACACGCGCACCTGGAACGGCCTTTATCCGCCGCCGGGGGAAAATGAACGCGGGGGAGAAACGCGGCGCCGACACGAGAACGCTCCGTTTACTTGGGGAAAATATTGATTCGCCGATAATCCGCGCGGAAATAAGGGAAGGTCGATTATTAGCTTTTTTTATATATATATATTTTTTGGTCGTGTTTTTATTTTGGTTATGATTGTTATCATTATTGTTATATTATTATTATTATTATTAATTATTATTATTATTATTATCATTATTATTATTATTATTATTACTATTACTATTATTATTTACTATATATTACTATTATTATTATTATTATTATTATTATTATTATTATTATTATTATCATCTTATTATTACTATTACTATTACTATTATTGCTATCATTATTCCTGTTATCACTATTATTGTTATTATTATTATTTATGATACTATTATTGCAATTGCTATTGTTAATATTATTATTATTATTGTTATTTTTACTATCATCATCATTCTAACATTTTTTTTTGATAATCCTCATCATCATTATTACCATCATTATCCGTATGGCTCTTACGACCCTCTTATTGTTGTTATTAACTCCATCGGCCCCGTTAGCGGTAACGTAGTGAATTTAAATAGCTTAATGATGGTGCACGTATATTTTACGCCACTCCATTTTCTCTCTCAGGCCCGACGGAGCTCAAGATTCGCTTTTCCCTTTTCTTCTCCTTCGTCGTCCCCTTTATCGGCCCTTGTCTTTGGCTACTTCCTTTCGCCCTTCGCTGTCGCCGTTGTCTTGTGATGTTTGTATTCTCTCTCGCGTTCTTCCACTTCCTTCATCATCGTCGCTGTTCTCTCGCGCTGTTTGTATTCTCTCTCCCGTTCTTCCACTTCCTTCATCATCGTCGCCGTTGTCTCGTCCACTTTCACTTCTCCGCGTCCGTTTTCGCTGCTCGGGGGCTTCGTTCGCTTTTTCGTTTTTGTTCGTTGGTTATCGTGGTAGTGATGGTGATGGTGATGATGATGATGGCGGTGATGATGATATTAACGACGATGATGATAGCGATGATGATGATGATGATGATGATAAGGGTAATGATAATAGTGATTTTGATCATTGTTATTGTTGTTATTATTGTGATAATTGTGATTTTCATCGTTATCATTATTAATATCATCATCATAATCATTATCATTATTAGTTGCTCTTATTACTACCACTATCATAGGCTGATGAGTGTTATAAAGGCGTCCTCAATTTTTGCTTCGTATTTATACACGTTTATCTTTATTATTATATTCATTTGGATCATCCCCCCCTCCCCTTAGCACCTCATCTGATACCCAAAACACCCCCCCCCCATTCCGACGCCCCAGACACGAGCCCTCCGCGCCCATTGAGCCATACGCTTGGCCTTAACAACCCCCCCTCCCCTTCATCCGCCCCCCCTCCCCTTCATCATCATCCGCCGCCCCCTCCCCTTCATCACAGCCTCCCCCTCCCCTTCATCCGCCCCCATCCCTTCATCCTTCCCTCCCCCCTCCCCTTCATCCTTCCCTCCCCCCTTCCCCCTTCGTCCGCCCCCCCTCCCCTTCATCCTTCCCTCCCCTCCCCTTCGTCCGCCCCCCCCTCCCCTTCATCTTCCCTCCCCCCTCCCCTTCGTCCGCCCCCCCCCCCTCCCTTCATCACAGCCTCCCCTCGCGGTTCCCTCCCGACCCCTCCATCACGGGGAAAGACCCAGTGGACCAGCGCCGTCGAGCCTCTCCTTCTCATTTCCCGCCTCTTCCCCCCTTTCTTCTCGTCGCGTCTTTCTTGGTTCTCTTCTGCGTTTCTCGGATTTTGTTTTCGTTTTTTCGGGTTTTCCGTATCTTCGTTTTCTTTCGTTGTCTGTGTTTTTTTTTTTTTTTTTCCTCTTCGTTTTATTGGTCCTCCACCGCAGTTGCATTCTCAGCCTCCTTTTCCTGCTCCCCTTTCGTCTCCCTCTTGTCCTCCTCCTCCTCCTCCTCTCCCTCCCCTCCGTTTCCTTCTTATCTCCTTCCTCATCTTCCTCCCCTCCGCCCCTTTCTCCTTCTCGCCCCCGCGCCGCTCCTCCTCCTCCTCCTCCTCCTCCTCCTCCTCCTCCTCCTCCTCCTCCTCCTCCTCCTCCTCCTCCTCCTCCTCCTCCCCGGGCCGAGAGGACATCATGGCGGCGGCGGCGTGTGCTCCGCGCCGGGCTATGGGGAGCGGAAAGGAAGGTTGCAAATAGGATGGCATTACGGACTTTCAGCGATGATTTAGCGTGGAAATGCGCGGGTCATTGAGCACCGACTCTTCACTCTGGCCGCAATGCTGGGGCCTCTGGGGTTGGGCGCTGCTGGGGGAGCGGGCGTCGCCGGGCGCACTGGGGGCTCGCGGGCTTTCTTGTAGAAGTTTCGGGGAGTCGTTTTTATGCGTTGTAATAGTTGGTTCGACGGGGCCTCGTTGGCCGTGCCTCGCCTCGCCCACAGGGTTTTTCTCCCTCGGTGGGGCCGCCGTTTGACGCCGCCGCCGCCTTCGCCTTCGCCCGGGCCCCTGGCGTGGGCTTCGCTTTGGCGCAGAGCTGTGGGTCGCGGCGGGGATGTTGGGGAAGGAGGCAGGGCGTTTCTTGAATCAAATGTTAAGAAAATGCCGGGTCCGGTTCCAGCGCCGCTGCCATCCCGAGATGTTTTTGGCGCCCATCTGGGTACGTTGGTCCGTTATTTAGTGTTGTTGGGGCTGTCATGGGGGCCGGTGGGAGGGTGTTGATGTTGGACCGCTGCTAAGAGCCATTGCGGGGGGCTAGGGACGGGATTCGGGATCGCCGATGGGGCCGGATTTGGCAGCAGTCTGGGGCTGTAGCAGGACGCCGGGAGAGCCACTCGGTGTACAAAGGGACGAGAAAGTCGGAACAGCGCTTCGGGTCAGCGTCGCTCTCAGTGGCACGAATGTATTTAGATGAAGAAGAACCTCCACAAGGCGAGGGAAGGTTACGAGAGTAAACCACAAAGAGAGGAGGAAGTAATACTCAAGAGAGCGAGTGTGCGGGAGAGAGGGAAGGGCGACGGAGGGATGGGAGTGTGACTGACTGTGGGCCTCGGAGTAGAAAGTGCTGCATGAGGGTGAAAGTTGTTTGTGGAGTTGCTGGGGAGATGTTGAGTTAGTGGTGTCAGGGGATGTTGATGTTCCGTCGGAATCTATAATGGCGAGGGAGATACCGATGCTGAATGGGGGGAAATGCCTTCTTTCGAGGGGAAATTATGATGAGAGGAAAAGGGAAGGAAACGGCGCTGTAGAGAGACGACGGGGAAGTGAAATGTAGGACTTTTTTTTCCCAGGAACCAATTATTATTATGTATGGAAGGAGAGAGATGAAGAGGAGAAGAGAGAGAGAGAAAAAAAAACTATATTATTCCGAAAGGGTTGTGGAAAATATATTTTTGTTATCGAGTGGTATCAAGAAATATGTAGATGAATGCTGGCTGGGGAAGGACGCTGATGTTTATGGCGGAGATATTGAATGTTACTCTTGGCATGCTTGGATGCCAATGAGGACTGATAATATGATGATAGATGATGCGGAGAAGGCGAACAAACGTAGAGGGAAAGGAAACAACGATTTGAGGAAAGGAGGGCGAATGGCCCAGCGGAGAGGAGGAGAGTGCAGATCCTGATCACCTGAGAGAAGCAAGACCAAACAATACGGTGAATTCATGGTCAAACAGAGGTACCCACAGCCACGGAATGATGTAAGAAAACTGTACTAAATAACAGGAGGCCTCTACATCACAACCCTACTGCCACGCCACGAGACCTGACACTCATACCATACAGAGGACCTCACTTTGTGTTACGTCTTTATTTCCTTTTCAAATTAGCCGGTATCCCAAAAGCGGTTAAACGGTCATCCTCGAATTGAAAACCTTTAATGGCCTTGTAAAATTCCAGTTCGTATCAGATTGGTCTTTTTCCTCGCCGAGCCCCGCGTGGGATGCGTGCACCAGTCCCAATGACGTCGAGATACAGTCTCCGTAAATTAATATTTTGAATGAGAAGACGTGCGTTTCGGGCGGGTCAAACGAGTTATCACTCTTCTGAGGGCTATCAGCGGCGGCCGCCTGTAATAACCCTGGTAATATAATGAGAGCCGTATTCACTCCTGCCACTCTATGGCCGCCACCGGTTATATCATACCTTACCGTTTCAATTTATATATGACCTATATCTCCTCTTCTAATAATATAACTAATATATAGGGCATTATATAGGCTTATGGAAATAATTTAAAATTTAATCCCTAATAATATTATTTATTATACTTACTCTACTATTTGTCAACTGTGGGCTTTCGGAGTAGGTCCCTGTTGGCGGGTGCCTACGGAGAGCAAAAGATAGCGATGGCTGCTCACATGGCGTCATGCGGAATGAGAGGCGCACTTACGAGGGCCAGCGTCAATGAAGTCAGGCCGGATTTATTTTCACGTCTAGAGACGCGGAAGCGACGTTGTAGGATGTATAGATAAGGACAGCGGCCCGAGTGTCAACGGATTACTCGGCGCTTCGTTTGCTCACGGGGGTCAGACACTTGGTTTGCGGCGGAGACCAAATTGTAGTGTTTTTGCGGGGCGGCTTTCGGGGTTGTGTATGTGCTGTTTGCTGGTCTGACGCCGCTGTGATTTTTAGTTTTGGTGTTTTTTTTTGTTCTTTTTTTGTTCTTTTTTTTTCGGTAGCAATTTTTTTTGTTTCAACGCCGCAGGCGAGGTGCGGCAGTGGTCGGTATGGAGTTGTATGTCTGCAAGGGGTGGAAACCGCAAGCCCATGTATTTCAATCTTGGCGCAGAAACGAGGATGTTAGCGGCCAGATGTTGTGGCCTACCGATGATGGGAAATAACGATGAAATATGCAGTACAAAGGCCATAAAGGCCCATAACGACGTGTGGATGTGGAGCGAGAGCTGCGTTCTTGCTTATGTTCGGCGCGCGGCGGGGTGTGCGAGGCGCCTCGCGGCGGCGCGCCCCCTGCCGAAGCTCTGGGCGTTCAATATTCGACACGCGATCTTCGCAACAGGCGTTAAGCTATTTTAGATGTGTTACTCCGAAGAGGCATCGCAAGGCGAACAAGGCCAGTTCTCCGAGAACAGATCGGCGCAACAATTGGTTCCCGCGTGCATAAAAGCGCTAGCCATTTCCCCCGTGATTATCACATGTGTACGCCTGCCATTATCCTGCGGGATTTTGTTGGGGCGCCGCCTCCATGGCCCCCGCTCCCCTCTCCCCCCGCGTGGTCTTGGGCGGCCGGCGTCCAGGTGACGGACGGGGGCCTTCCTCCATATGGCTGACTGTGCAGGTATTTATGAGTGTGCGAGTAATCCCAGATGCAAAGGACGCCGCAAGCGGATCAGTGAAAAGATTTCTGGAAGAATTGTCCGTGGGCTGGAGGCCCTGTCGAGACGTCCTCGCAGATCTGTACTTGTCTGGTATTAATATCAGGCAAAGACAACTGCTTACCCGATTGTGCGTCGCAGGCACTCTGCGTGCGAGCGAAGACGTAATAGCAGGGAACATTCAGTTAGGCCTGATCCAACGAGCAACGCTTTAAGCGCCCGAACTCGATGGGGAGAGGAGAATCCGTCCTTAGAGCGACGTTATCAGCCTCGTATCGCCCAGTTTCCCCCGTTATCACCGTCCTTCCATTCCCCGTTCCCCCCAAGCCCGACCATTCCGTTCATCTCCGGTTTGGCGGAGCTAATCATGTGTGCGTTGTGTTATCAAGCCGCTGGGATTTGATAGGACGGCGAGGCTTTGTTCTGTTTACGATCCAGGAATCGGTAATGGCGTCCTCTCTCCCGCGCTGGAGTGCTGCAAGTCCCCGTGGCGCTCCGCGTCTGCTTCGGGCTAATTTTTCTCAGCTTTTATTCTTCCTCCTTTTGAGTACCTCTCTTCTATCTGCTATCAATCCTTTTCTTTCGTTTTATCTCCTGTTCCTTTTCTTTATCTGCGTCACTTGTTTTTTGTTTTTTTCGAGTCATTGGTCTATAGAGCACGCGCCCCGTCCCGTCTCCTCCTGTGATTGCTTCTCATTTCTCTGTGCTCGCTGTTCCTTCTCCTTACCATTCCCTTATCTCCTCTTACACACCTGCTTCCCATCGACGCCGCGTTTTCGGCCGAGTCGCACGCCCACGCCGAGACCTTGTGTGTCCGTCCTTTTTCTCGTTTTCTAATTTTTATTTCAGTGTCGTTGTCAGCGGAACTGGCAGTGCACTACCGAGATCTGCGTGGGGCGGTAGGAGGGAGGTAGGGAGAGGGAGAGGAGAAGGAGGGAGAGGGGGAGAGGAGAGGGAGAGGGGGAGAAGAAGGAGGAGGAAGAGGCAGGGCAGGCAGTGGGAGAGGCCGGGAAAACTCGTTCTTGGTGTTATCTTTTACTCTTTTATGGACATAGGTGTGGATTTTGATTGCGGTGCTGGTGTGTGTGTGTGGGTGGGGGGGGGGGATGGTGCATGAGTATGGGATACGAAAGACAGACAGACACACGGGTAGACAGACAGGCAGGCATATAGACAGGCATATAGACGGATAAACAGCCAGATAGCAAAACGGACCGACAGACGTATAGTCAGACAAGGCAAAAGAATAAAGAAATATAGACAGACAAGACAAAAGAAAAAAGAAATATAGACAGACAAGACAAAAGAATAAAGAAATATAGACAGACAAGACAAAAGAATAAAGAAATATAGACAGAGACAGACAGACAGACAGACGACCGGGCAGGATTAACCCCCCCCCCCCCCCTTGTTTGGAAGTCCATCGTCTGTATCCCGTAATTCAACTTGCCTTTGTTATTTCGCCGCTTCTGCAGTGTCTAGTGAAGGAGAGCTCATCAAGCATAATGACTTGGGTCTTTAAGTGTTCTTATCATCCTGTGGGAGGATCTTCCTTTGTTTTGTAGGATTACCAGCATTTATCCCCTCGCCTTTGGAGTAGCGTCTTCATTAGAATATTTGTTTATTACGTGTTCTATGGCGAGGGCGAAGGTTTGATTTCGTTGGTTGTTTATTGTGCATTTGTTGTTTATGTTTTGGTTGTTTGTTTACTTGTACCATTATTTTTTTTGTCGTGGCTTCAGCTGGAATCTATGTTGGTCTCAAGCGTTTTGTATTCTTTCGATCTTCTGTTGCGATTAGCGTGTGTTTTTTGCCTATTTACTTCTGGGTTTTTACCGCTTTTGTATGGGTATCAGGTTATCTTAATACCGTTTTGATATGATGAGACGGAGGCTGGCTTGGCACCATTTTGAATACGGGAACACGGACACTGGTTTGGCACTTATTGAATACGAGAATGCGGACGCTGGCTTGCGACCATTTTGAATTCGGTAATACGGACGCTGGCTTGCCACCATTTTGGGCATGGCAAGACGGGCGGGCGGATGGGCGGCGGGCGGGAGCGGACCCACGCACTCAGGCGCCGTTTGTTAAGGGGCGTTTATTCCCGCCTGATATTTACGGCGACGAGAGAACGGGCTGGAGACCCCGAGATTATTTTTTACTAGGTGGGATATTAGGGATTTTTTTGCGGGTTGTTTACGGACGGTGTGAACTCCTGCGAGGCCCTTCGTCAGCGGCGCCTCCTGCCTCTGACGGTTATGGCCCCGGCACTCCGCAACTGTCTTCCTCTGCCAACTTCCACGCTGACACGCAACAATTTATTGCAGGAGCTCCAGAGTTGTTGGCGGCAGGCGGCAGG